ATGCCACTTTCCTACCCTCCTCATATATTAATTATTCAGGCCTTCCCTTTGTACTTTCTGGAGACTCATTCTAATGGGCTTTGGTATATATATATATATCCTGGCAATAACATAAAATAATGTCATGTGATAAGAGCATAAGGGTATGGTTTCCTTTTCTGTGCAAAAAATCACAGAAACCATGAGGGAAAGCTTGTGTTAGCAGCTTTCCAATGTCCAATCTTTCCAAGGCTGAATCCTTGGGTGTCAGTTCAGATATCACTTCCTTTCTTGAATACCTAGTCTAAAATAGCAATTTCTCTGCCTCACTTTACAAAACACTATAGTGTTTTCCATTTTCTTCATAAAATTTACTGTAACCTTAAATTTTCTTGTTTACTTACTTACTGTCTTTCCTACTAGAATATGAACTCCATGAGGGTAGAAACTCTTTCTCTAGTATTTGGCCCATATGAAGTGATCAATAATTATTTGTTGGGTTGGGGGGGAGGGGCACAGCACAGTGGTAGAGTGCTTGCTTAGTGTAAACAAAGCCCTGGCTTGGATCCCCAGCATCACAATAAAAAAATCATCAATATCATTATTATTTTTGAATGAATAAAAGTGAAAGAGACACACACACACACACACACACACACACACACACAGAGAGAGAGAGAGAGAGAGAGAGAGAGAGAGAGAGAGAGGGAGCAGGAAGACTTTGTGAAGCCTTAGAACAGGAATCATGTCCTCTTTTCTCTTGGGGAGCAATGCAACTGCAAATACTCACATACTCATCAGAAATGGCAGAATGTTTAATGAAGCCACAAGCAGTTGAGGGCCTTACAGGAAGGCTGCTCAATATATCTAAAAGACAAAGGCAATGTGATCTGCTTTTGGTTTATTTGCTCCAGGAAATAGTACTCTCATTATTTTGTTTCATGGTGAAAGTGGCCAAAACCGGTAGACTGCCTTGGAATAGGTTCTTGCCAAAGGGATTAGAATAGAGGGAGGGAGAAACAATTAGTGTGAAGTTGATGACTCTAAACTTCAAAAAGGTATACACAATAGCAGGAAACACAGCCAAAGCATGAGGACTGCTTTGCACAGCAAACCCTCAGGGGTATGCCTTGGTTCACAGGGAAGATGCAAGTGCAATCAGATGTGGCCCAGGAATGATGTGACATTGTGGAACATGAAGTTAATGGGATCATTAATGATGCAGATGTACCTAGATTTCAAGGAGATGTAGCCTATTAGGAAGGTCATTCCTGATTTTGTTTTGGCACAATGTCAGACAGAAATGTGTGTGGTCTCGCAGCACTCGATTGGGAAGGAATAAACCCAGATGAACCTGTCTGGAGGAAACAGACCAAAAGCAGGTTGGTAAGCCTGCCCTTCCTCAGGTAAACACCTGCAAGTCTTGGGAAGGTGGGCTGCCAGCTGGGATATGCATTGGCATGAGCTCTTTACCTTTCAAAATAGTTTGGATCTGTTATCATTTTACTTCTATTTCAAACCTGTGAGATTGGGAGGGCAGTTGCTATTTTCAAAGACATTTATAAATGTAGACACTGAAGCACAGGGTAGGTGGCTTGTCCAAAGCCACCTTGCTTAAAATAACAGGAAAATCAGTTCTTTCTTTACTAGGTTTCTAAAACTGTGGAATCCCTGCATTAGAATCACCGGAGGAACATGCTTAAAATTTATATCCACTTCAGGGGAAGAAAAAATATCTTTTTCTTCTTTACCCCTCTGAGTTGTTATCTGGGGCTTCTATAACAAAAGACAGATTAACAAAAGCATACAAATTTATTTTGATTTTTTTTTTCACAGTACTGGGGATTGAACCCAAGTCTTATGTGTATGTTAGGCAAGTGCTCTGCCACTGAGCTATATCCCCAGCCCAGACAAATTTATTTAATGTAATTTTATATGATGTGACAGCTTTTGCAAAAAAATGAAGACCTAAAGAAGTTAATCTTGAGTGTTTTTATGGTCAGTTTGATGAAGAATGAAGAGTGGTGGAGACATGTGATAGGACAAAAGTGTTTGAGCTATGTGGAGTGGAGTAGGGGACACACCATTCAGGCTCCTCTCTTTGTCCCTTCATCATCAGAGGTCAGACGCTCCTTCCTCCAGTCACAGGGAGGGCACATCTCACTTGAAGGTCTTATGATCTGCTTCTGGGGAGAGTCAGAAAAGTCTTTCCTGTGTATGTCATTTCTCCAACTCCTTAAACTTAAATAGTTTAATAATGCCAAAGTAGTATGTCCTGACCTGGACGACCCACTCAAGAACTTCTTAAACAGGGAATATCTAGGACAGGGCCCAGAAACCTGCATTTATTACGAACTCCATGTGATTCTTACGTATACTAATGATTCAGCAGAGCAAGCCATCCTTAACCCCAAGGCAGTGTAATTCATGGGGCCATTGGTACAATTCTGAACTCATCTATTCCTGTGTTCTTTTCCTCAAACAGAGTCCCCCTTTGAACTGGAAACACAGTGAGTTCCTTGGAAGAAAGCGTTGTATTGATTGTAAATAGAAGAGTGAACAAATGTTGACAGGGACTATTTGAAGCTCTGGCAAGGAACACTTGTTAAAATAATCTTAATTAAATTTTAGATTGTATAACATGGCAAAGCCTGGGAATCCGCTCTTCAGTGGTTAAAGTAACATGTAACCCAACTGGCTGATCAAGTGTTCCAAGACTAAAAAGAACTGACAAAGAGCTTTAGAGTCATTGCAACTGGCAAAACCAAAGCTCCATTGGCAGGCTAAAGGGTTGTTGAAACAAGATATGCTGCAACAAGTTCTGGAGTGAAATAAGAAAAGCATTTCAAACAGCTGTTGAAAGTTTACAAAGTCGGAGTGGGGAAGGGCCCATCACAACATACAAAGCAATTTAAGGAAATACCAAGGGCCAATAGAGAGGATTCTTGGGGAGAAGGGAACAGGATTCATAATTTATTTATTTATTTTTTGATGCTGAAAATTGAACCTAATGGTGCTATACTACTGGGCTACATCCCCACCCCTTTTATTTTTTGCTTTGAGACAGTCTCACTAAGTTGCTGAGGGCTTTGCTAAGTTGCTGAGGCTGGCCTCAAACTTGCAATCCTCCTGCCTCAGTCTAGTCTCCTGAGTTGCTGGGATTATAGGCATACACCAGTGTACCATACTATAATTCATTTTTAATGTAAAAAATTCAGTTAGTATGAGTCAATAACATTAGTGTCCCTACTTCGGACTATATAGTAATTTAGTCCTGTAGGTGTCAATGTAAGGTCTAGGGCAATCCCTTACATTTGTGGAGCTCTTTACAATTTAAAATCCTTCATGTCATTACTCTCATGTGACCCTACTTCACCTTAAAGGTCTCAAAGCCCTTCCGTCATACTTCTTATTTATAATCTTTACCACTGCTTTACAATGTTTATCATCCCCATTTTGCAGGGAAAATTTTGAAAAAAGTATGGTCTCATAAAATTAAGGATCTGCCCAAGTTTACCCAATTGATTTGTGAAGAAGCTCGAACTCAACTTTAGGGCTTTCTCATTTCTACACCCTGTTATTTATGCTTGAAAAAAAAAAAAAGAATAAGTAGCATTTAGCTCAGAGAACCACAGCATTTGAGGACAAGAAGCCTCCTCCCATTTGACAGAAATAAAAACTAAAACACAATAAATCTGGGGCTTTGCCCTAAGTCACATGGTTATCAGTAGACCTCAGGTACTGGATCTCCATCTCCTATTTATTTCAGAACTTGTTCTACTTTGCTTGCTTCGTCTCATACTTTTTGGGTTGCTAGATATAAACCACACATGTTATCTTGGAATATCAGAATAAATGCATTTAATATCTGTCTTCTGAAGTATGGGAGCCTAATAGGTTAAAAATCCCTTCAGTTTGATTTAAAATGGCATCACTGGCATTTCCTGACTTTAAAAGCTTGGATCTCTCAGCTTCTCACATTTTGATATTATAATCAATATACTTACTACATTAACAGTGCAGAAACGCTTACTCTGAGAAGTGCCCAAGTTTCTCTTTTTGGTATAGATGATTGTATGCTCCAGATGATGTCAAGATTAAAGGAGTAGTTTTATTAGACTTTTGGTAAAAGGGAGAGAATAATGGGAAGAAAACCAGATTAAAAACATTATTCTTAAAATTACCTGTTATTAAAGGCTGTATGAATTCTAGTCCCACAACAAAATGTAAAAATTAGTGTGCCTTGCAGGGATGTAATCAGATAATTGTACACCCATGTTCATAGTAGCATTATTTACAATAGCCCAAAGGTGGAAGCAGCCCAAGTGTCCACCAACAGATGAACGTATTATAAATAAGGTATGTTCTATACATATAATGGAATATTATTCAGCCTTAAAATGCAGGAAATGCCGACCATGCAACCACACAGATGAATCTCAAAAACATTCTGTTCATGAATGAAGCCATCAGAAAAGGACAAAGTAATGGATAATTCCTTACATGGTATTCTTAGAGGAGGAAAATTCATAAAGACAGAAAGTAGAATGGTGGTTGCCAGGCACTAAGGGGAAGGGAAAATGGGAAGTTAGTGTTGAACAGGTTCAGTGTTTCGGCTTGGAAAGACGAAAATTTCTGTGGAAGGATGATGGTGATGGTCACACTATAAATGTACCTAAAGCCATTGAACTGTACACAGTCAAGAATGATTAAAGCCAGGCGAGGTGGCACATGCCTGTAATCCCAGTGGCTTGGGAGGCTGAGGCAGGAGGACCACAAGTTCAAAGCCAGCCTCATCAAAGGTGAAGCACTAAGCAACTCAGTGAGACCCTGTCTAAATAAAATACAAAATAGGGCTGGGGGTGTGGCTCAATGATTGAGTGCCCCTGAGTTCAATCCCCAGTACCAAAGGGGGGGGGGGGAACAAGAAGAATGGTTAAAATGACAACTCTTATGTTTTATATATGTATATGTTTATTTATTTATTTATTTTTTACTACAATAAACAACAACAACAACAGACAACAACCAGCGAACCTTCTTTTTTGAGTTTCCTTCCTCCCTCACACCCTCTAGGCAGTAGGTCTGTGCCTTGGGACAGCCCAGGGGCTCCAGCTCAAGTTCCAGGGTTTTTTTTATCCTTCTTCAAAACTTCACTGAAAACACCACCACAAGTAAAATCCAGAAAGTGAAACTCTAGAAGACAGAAGGCCTTGTTGTTTCAGAGGTCAGTGCCCCTAAAAGGATGGGAAGTGTCACAGTGTGGATATGGTTTGTCCCCTTTGAAGTTAATGTTGGAATTTGATTCCCAATGTAGCAGAGTTGAGAGGTGGTAGGGACTTTGAAGAGGCAGTTAGGTTGTTAAAGAGGAATTAATATGGTTCTCCCAGGACAGGATTCATTGTGGGAAGAGTGAGTTACAATAAAGCAAGGCCATACCTCCTGTTTTGCTTTATCCACACACTCTCACTGGCCCTTCTGTTTTTTCACCCTGTTAGGATGCAGCACCAAGGCCTCACCAGAAGCAAGGAGGGGCTGGCACGATGCTCTTGGACTTCTCAGCCTCCCAAACTGTAAGCCAAATAAACCATTTTGTTTTATAAATCTTCCAGTCACAGATATCCTATTATAGCAATAGGAAACAGACAAAGACAGGGAAATTATTCTAGATTTAAAGCCTTTAAAGAGACAAAAACACAGTACATGCATGGACTATGATTGGTTCCTAATTGGAAAAAACAGAAATAAAAGACATTTGGGGAGCAACTAAAGAAATTTAAATATGCACTCAATATTAAATAATATTAAAAAACCATTGTCAATTATTTTAGATGTGGTAATGGTATTATGATTATTTAAGAGAAGCTACATGCTGAAGTATTTAGGTGTGAAATGTCGTGATACTTGCAGCTTACTTTCAAATTGTTAAGGAGAAAATATATGCATATACACAATGGTAAAACAACAGCACACACACACACACACACACACACACACACCACTAATAACAGCAAAAGAAAAATTGACAAAGCCATAGATAAAACAATTTTTTAACCTGAATTATGTATATAAAGGTGTTCATTGTATTAGTTTTTGAAAGTTTTTATATATTTCATTATTTTTATTATGAAACATTATATTGAGTACTCAGGCCTGTTCAGTTGTAGAGCGCTTGCTTAGTATGTTCAATCCTAGCTCCGCAAAAAAAAAAAAAAAAAAAAAAATGAGTAAAAACCACCATCGTCACTGGTTCCCGAGTGTTCAGAGGATCCCAGACTCTTTGTCCAACCATTACAAAAACTATTTCATTTGATTCTCAAATGCTGTATAAAGATGGTACTGTCACTACCTTCACTTTTACAGATGATGAAGTAACTTTTCCAGGACTACACAACTTCAAATCTGGAAGTACAGAAGTTGGAGGCATAGGACAAGCCCATGATGGAGATGAGTAGAGGCCCCTCAAATCACGGCCATTAGGGGTGTGTCAACCACCTAGGAGCAGGGTCTACGTAGGCTCAGTGCCCAGAGTATATATTGCTTCTATCATTTGTATTCTAGATATGAAGCTGGATATTTTGCCCCTCCCAGGGAAGCACAGAGTGTTTTGTAGCTATTATCTCATGTGCAGCCTTAGGCAATCTGGGAAACCGTGCAAATGCTGTAATTCTTTCTAGTTTCAGCTCCAGAGGCTTGCCTGAGGCTCCTATCTCTGTGGTCATCACCTGGCTCCTTTTGACAGCAACAACAATAAATATAGTAGTTAACATTTATATACCATTTGCTCTGTGCCAAGCACCCTTTTAAGTGCCTTAAATACACATACTAACAGATCCCCGTGATATTGAGTAAATATGTTAATATCCCCATTTTAGAGAAGAGAACATTGAGGCACAAACATAAATCACATAGGTAGTAAGTAAATACTCTTTATTTCAACCAGAGTCGGAAGAGACTGTTGATCCAGAGGAAACCCCAAATCTGCCTAATGGTTCTTAGCTCTCCTAGGGAGAACTTTGTAGCAGTACTTGTCCCCAACCATGTCAATTTAATGATGCTTCCAACTTCTACCCCACTGGCACCAAAGGGTGTCACTGTCACATCCTTAGTGCCTGTGGTGATAGGCAAAAGTATGACATCTGCAGTCGAGGGGAGAAATGAAGAATTTCCACGCACTAATGCCCTTTTCAATGCTTTATTCACTCAAATCACTCAATACAATTTCACTCTATAGGTTCTTTTCTTTTTAAAAATATGCTTTAGTTGTAGATTGACACAATACCTTTATTTATTTATCTTTAAATAAATACTGTGGTACTATGGATTGAACTAAGTGCCTCACTCATTCTAGGTGTGTGCTCTACCACTGAGCCACAACCCCAGCCCCAATTCTATAAGTTCTTAATCAAGAAAATGACAATCTTTAATGCTGGGCACTGCAATAGACATAATCAATTCACAGCAAACAATTCTAAGTTAATCCTAAGCACTGCAAACACACTTAATCATGACAGACATTCCCTCTGCATGCTAAGCTCAGGTGCCAGATCTAGAGTCTCAAGTCTTAGGCCTTAAGTCCAGCAGATGCACATTCACTCAGACCTCAGTGCTCAGGTCAGGGACTGATGGAGTCTTCTCCTGAGCTGATGGCCGGTTAAGGAGAGGGTCATAAGGAGAAGTCACCATTCTCACCAGGGTCAAGATGTGACTGTAGAGTTTGAGAGCTGGGAGGATGATGCAGAGGATCAGGCAGATGATGAGAAAAATTGGGATGTCAGTCCAGGTCCTCATCAGGCTCTCTGGAATGTGGGCATCAGTGTTGGCTGGCTGAATGTCTGCTCATTTGCTCCATCATTTACACTAAATTTTGGTGCTTCTGCTCACCATTTCAGTCCTTATCAGCTATTACCTGGTTTATTAGTGATGTTTTTCATTCTAGGGTCAGGATATACGATTTGGTGGTTTCCACCCTAATCTCACACCTCTGATTCTTATCATGACAAAACCAAATGACAGTGACTTCATTCTGAGTTTTATCAGGATTTTGGAGAGTGAGTTGTCTTTATCAGGCTATGCCTAATGGCATACTGGAGGGCTCTGTAGGCTGGTGCCTGGTGGGACTGCAGATTTATTTAAAATGGAGTTGCTTAGTCTAAGGCCACCCTTACAGTGTCTTTGCCAAATATATGACCTGCTCTTTCTAAATTTGACCTTTGAGTCTTTGTTTCTTATAAAACAGCAATAACTCCCAGGTGGTTTGATATCAGATCTAATCACCCACTCTGCTACTTACTAGCCACCCTAACAAACCACAGAAAACTAGGGTGCTCATCTTCCACCTAAGGAAGGAAGCCATCCTGGTCAGTCTCACTTGGTAGACTCAACCACAATGCTAGCAGCTGGCTTTGACTTTGTAAAGTGGTGAAGAGCTGGGCTTCTCCAACCCCATCCATGTTCTCCCTCCTGCCACATCAGGAAGTACCAGATGAACCTGTTCACAGTAAGATGTTAACCATACTTGTAGCTCTCCCAAAAGGACATCCTAATATGGGATCCTTTGTAGCAGCAATGTTTCACCCAAAGAAGTGACTCTCTGGTGACAAATGATAATTCAATAGGGCTGATTATCCTTCCTACTGTCAGAAAAAAACGAAAAGGGGAGGGAGAGTGAGTTCCCCTTCACTAGCCTCCTCACACCACAGTGAGCCAAGGCTTGGTGTTCAGTGGTCTTTGCTCCTCATTTTATCTGGTGTGGGAGTTACTGGCAGCTAAAGGCTTCTCTATAATTCAGGGGTCAAGCCCAAGAAGGAAATAAGCTACAGGTGCTTCAGAGGATAAAATGAGGATGGGAGGAAAGAAGCTGGGGTTTCCTGGGTGAGAGAGATTTGAGGCTTTTTTTTTTTTAAGTCTGGGAGGACATTCAAGGACATCCTCAAATAGTGGAGACTTGGGCCTTTTCCACACAGGATCCTAGGGGAGCCATTGGTGCCTGGCAGTCAGGCCACTGGCATGTCTCTTTAGGAGGGTCTTGAGCAGCAATGTGGTTGAAGGCTAGGAGGAGAAGAGGATGCATGCTCTAAGCTGTTTACATATATGAAAATGAGAAAATATTTAGCAAAGAATGGGGATGCTGATGCAGATTATAGGGGGAAGGTCCAAAGTCTCCTCAAACTTCTTCCACCACCATCATCCATGACCTTGAAAACATAGACAAGAGCAAGGGCCCCCAGAGTATGCAGGCAAAGTAGGTACCATGAGGGGGAATTTTTTAGTCTAGTAACTGCATTGCATAACAAAGAAGCAATATTAATAATGATTTTATTGACTAACTCAGACCCTTGCCCTATATCTCCATTACCAAGTAGGCCTGAATTCTAGAACTGCCCAACAGCAGGGAAGAGGAAATTTCAGTAACAATATCAGGGATCCCACCCGTCAGGCACAGGTGGAGTCCAGAGCATGATTTCACTTGATTTGGAAAAATAAAGAGTTGTGTGTTTCCTTGCTCCTTGGTAAGTAGAGTGAACACATACCTATTATTTAGGTATGGGGTGGGGGAGCTAGAAATAGTTAGAATGATCCTCAAATCATCAGGCAGCTGGAGAAGCTGCCAGGCTCTGCCCTCCTGCATTTATTTGCCTTTAGTTGACAAAGACAAATTAGCCCAGTACCTCTTGAGCCAGAGTTTGCAATGCAGAGTCTGCAAGAATGTTTACTTGGGGAGCCACACTGTTCTTTATCTCAGCAGGTGTAATTCCATCACATGATTGTCTGGATCTGCTTTTCCCTGCTTGGCTCCAAACAGCTTGCCAATTCAGAAAGCCATGGCTGAGAAATAAATAGTCCTTCTCTGAGTCAGCCCAGAAAACACTGGGGGGTCCCTTTATGTATTATAATGAGCACTTCCTGACTCCTAGGGTTAGAGAAGGCCTCTCTCTCTACCCCTGAGGCCTACTAGCCAGAACTTTCTCTTTGCAAGCAATTCACTGGCCTCCACCAGAAAAACCAGTCAGGAGTCCTGCAGATTAACCCTGCCCTGGTCCCCAGCAGAACAGTTCAAGAAGAAAGACTAGGACCTCTGTGGGGACACAGCCATAGAGCTAAGAGTTGTGCTGCTTTGGAAACTTCTAGTACAACCTTGGCATTTCTAGCCCGAGAGTTATTTCTATTTCAGTTTAAGGTTATCTTGGACAGGTAGTTTTCACTTTCTGGAAAATGCTAACAAGAAAACCAAGAGGAGGGGTCTCCTCAGCCAGAGCCCAGACATCTCAGCATTCATACCAGGAGCAGAGACAAGGTGAGCTTTGTGAAGGCTGGCACCTAAAAGACTTGGGAAGTCTTGTGAAGCCAGGTCAGGGGCTCACTTTCCTTTTTCAGGCTACAGAAGTTCCTTTGGGCCGTTTGCTTCAAGACTAACCTGGTTTGGAAGACTCAGGATTCTACACCATCTAACAGAGACCAAGAAAGCAGATACTGTGGTCAAGTTCAAAGGACCCCTCAGGGTCAGACCTTTGTGATGATTGTAATGTGTCATTTGATTCAAGCGCTCGTTAAAAGACTTCTTGAACAAG